TCAAGGATATTCTCAAATAAGGAGAGAAGTGTGGAAGAAATCATGGAGATTATCCACATTAGGATGATACATTGGCTGAAACATTGGAATTGTTTAAAGTGTTCTCAGTTGATGAGATGATAAGGAGTTGGAAGGAGATTGCAGGTTCAGGCTCAAGTAGAAAGAATTTAAACTCTTGCTGGACTCCTCCACCTCATGGGTTTATCAAACTGAACTTTGACAGTAGCAGCATAGGCAACCCAGGGCCTTCCGGAGTAGGGGGAGTGATAAGGGATGAAACAGGGAATTTGCTAGCCATGTACTTTGGTCCGGTTGGGGTGGGAGACTCCTTGAGGGCTGAGATTTTAGGAGCTATTGAAGGGATACAAAAGGTCAAGGAAATGAATAATAAAAAGTTGATTATAGAAGGTGATTCTGAAATTGTGGTGAATTGGTTAAAAGAGGGCAGCTCTATGCTTTGGAAATACAGCAATGAAAAGAGGAAGTTCAAGTGGCTCACCAAGGACATGGAAATTCATTGTACATGGATAAAGGGAAGTGCAAATGCATTGGCAGATGGTCTAGCTAGGCAAGGGGTAAACAGAAACACTATATTTTGGGCTGTTTTGTAATTGCTGCATGGTCAGGATGTTCCTTGGGTAGTTGGCAGTTAAGATTTTTTAGCTCCTTCCCTTGTAATTCTAATTCTCTCTATCATTAATAAAATTTCATTGTTATTGATCAAAAAAAAAAAAAAAGAAAATGTATGAGAGAAGTCCATAGTTCTTAACCAATGAATGGCCCTAGTCAAGATACAATCCTCAACAGCCTGAATGCTTGTTTCCTTTTCATTGAATACCTTTGCATTCCTTTCTTCCTAGATTGTCCACAAGGCGGCTGCTCTAATACATCTCCACATCATTTTTTCCTTTTTTTGTAGGCCACACAAAAAAACACCCAAACAAATGCCTTTGATGCTCAACCTTGAGGTTCAAGCCTAAAGTATAATGCAGATATACCACCACTTTGAGGTGCTTATGTCAAGAACATGATTTCTAGGATTCTCAACACAAGAATGACTTAAAATCCTGTTTTTGATACTTATGTGAATCTTTTAGTTGTATATATATATATATACAGTTTTCAACACCCATTTGAGGTTTGATTAAGTGCTTTGTAATTAATTGTCTGCAAGGTTTTGTAAATTGTAAAAAAGCTCTTATTACTTTTGAGTCCATGTTTATCCGAAGAGTAATTCATATATATATATATATATATATTCTTATATAAAATTGTTTTCTTCTTTCATAGCTCTGAATTTATGTTTGAATATAACCTAGGTTCAAAATTTTGATTCGATACACCCCGTGTCGGGCATATTGTATCGTATCTTTCAGTTCCCGATACACCTATTTAAAGTTGTTTTCAAGAAACTGTTTTTTAATGATTAAAACATTGCCAGACTCAAACTTAAGATTCACCGTTGCAATTTCCATCTCATCCTCAACAAATCAACTAACACCTTTCTTTTTTCAAAAGGATTGATGATAACAGCACCCTTAAGCTTCTATCCCCTAATTACTGTTTCTGCTATCTTTCTTTAATCATGTAGATTAATATTGGTTTCCACCACTAATTTCTTTTTCCAATCTCCTTTCTCATCATTGGCCATCATTTTGTATTTACCTCTTCCTTGCCCTATTAACAGAAACTCTTTAGTGAACTCAGCTTCTTCTTTTCTCCTTCCAAAATCACCAACTCTATGAAAGATATCATACTGTACTTGAAGTTTCCATGGAAGTAAGGCTGTTGGTGCACACAGTCAAAGTAATCCTGTATGTCCTTAGCTGTCTTAAACCCTTACACGGCAATTCCAGCAGAGGCATCTATGAACCAAGTATCAACAACACAATTTTATCATTATTTACTTTCCATTATTGAAGAGCATTAGGATCAGATTCAGCAGGTTTATTATTTGTGCCATCAACTATCCCCATAACCCTTCCACAGAAACTGGAAGTGAAACCTTCACATGTAATTTTTCTGGTCATTATCTACATGCCATAATTTGACCCACCAAATTTGACTGAAACCATTTTAGACTTTTCTGATATTCACCCAATAAATTTCAAATTAGAGGAACAGAACAGGCCTGATATTGGCCTTTATGGTGTCGTAAACATCTCAACTACTGATGGTGTAATTGTATTCCAGGTCTGATATCAACTTGTATCAATCATTGGTACCTTGTTACACTCTTTCGGGGCTATTCACGGATTTGCAGTTCAGTCAAATACAACTCAGGATCAAGAAGTATCAATGGAGTGAAAAACTTATTTAGTAGTTAGTAGTTAAAGCTCATAACCAACAGCTTTCAGCCCAATGATTTGTGCTTCACTTGTGACAGTGAAAAATCTTATTTCCTACTGGATCCTACCTTAAAAACCTCCACTAAATAACAGCAAACCAGCTTATAGATCTCTTCTCTTCAATCTAATAAGACAATGCTAGACTTCTCTAATGCCATATCATATTTGTATTAGTGGAATAGAAAGAATTAGATAGAGAGAACAGAAACAATGCAAATAGATGTGCATAGTTGAAACTGCTGCTTACCCTGATTAATTATTTATGTATATCTAGAGGTGTAAAACGGGCTGTGTTGGGCCTGCATGGCATGGCCTGTGGGCTGTCGCAGGCTGTGCCTCCCTCCCTTGGGATATTTTGGGGGTCGGCCCGGCACGGCCCACGGCCCAAGCCTGCGTTGGCCCATGTCGGGCTAGGCTGGTCTGCAAGCTGAGCCTTGGGCCAGGCCGGGCCGTGGATCAGGCCAAAGTTATTTATTTAAAAAATTGAAAAAAAACTTAAAATTTTAATTTTATATGATTTTTGATGTATACAATTGCTTATATATACAATAATTAAATAAGATGGTATAAAAAATTGAAAAAGTGTTTATTTTATTAATATATTATATACTATATATTATTATATAATTATAATTTATATTATATTATATATTGTATATTATACATAAATAAATAAAATATATAAATATTATATATAAATATATATAATATATAAAATATATATGGGCCGGGCTGGCCCGACCCGCTGACCTGAAACCCCAAGCCCGGCATGGCCCATTGGTCCATACAATCGTGTTGGGCCGTGGCACGACCTATGGACCATTAGGCTGGGCCGTGGGCGGCATGACTCGGTTTACATCTCTATGTATATCTAATGCAATTCAGTGATTTAAAAGGCATGCCTAGGTGCATAGGCGAGGCACATTTTAGGGTATGTGCCTCACTAGGTCCTAGGCACAACCCTTTCAAAAGGCGCATGCCTGGTGCACCTAGGCATGCGCTTGATGCGCCTTGTGCCTCAGCCCCCTATTTTCTAATGCTGTTCATTCATTCATCCTACTAAAATATCTTCTTAAAAAGCAATTAAAATTATAAAATCATTACTTTTTGTGTGAAAACTAAGAATTTAAGAGCCTAACATGGACTTGTTTGGGCTTGCCTCGAGGGGTGTGGTACAAAAGGCGGTTCGTAGAATCAGTAATGTAATATGTTTTACATAACATTAGCTACTTGAAGTAATGCAATTAAGAAAAAAAAGAGATTGTGGGTTTTACATGCTTGAAAATGTTTTGTATGTTTGGTCTTATTTTTAAATTCTCATTTGAATATGCTTTACATGTTATGTTTATGTATTTTAATTTTAGATAATAAGTTTTTTAAAACATTTATTTTAAAACTTATGTTTATATTTTTTATTAATATTATGTTTAATATTTTTTATTTTTTGGCAATTTTTTTTTAAAATTTTTTGATATATATATATATATATTTTTATTTTTTTATCAATTTTTTTTTTTTTGTATTTTTGCACCTTGCTTCAAAAAGGCGTGTACCTCGCCTTGCGCCTTGTGCCTCGGGTTCAAATTGGCCCCTGCACCCTTTTTTGTGCCTTGTGCTTTTAAAACACATACAATTATGTAAAATTGCAAAAACACTCCAAGAGAAGGGATAAACAGCAAATAGGGAAAATAAGAAATATAATTTTTTTACAAGAACAACATGCTATCCTATGCTAGTGTATGATACAACCTATTTTAATATGATACACAATTAATCTCCAGCTGCCTTTTTTCACAGATTACATTCCAACTGTTGGTTGGAACATCAAAATGTTGAGACTAGTAACCAGTTTTCCCGTCGTTTAGTTTTCTAGTTTACAAATATCTATATTTTATATTAGTAAAATTAATAAGTTTTGTATTAAATCAGCAACTCTTATTCTTCCCTATCTTTCTCTACTTTGTTGATTTGTTTATGATGTTTCATGCTGACATCACAGTTAAACTGTTTGATTAATAGTTGAGCCACTGAACTGGGAATCCCCAGACTTCGTGATTCACTATAGGTTTTCTAAAATATTATGTAAAATCAGAATGTTGGTATTAGTTGCACATACTAAATAAATATTTTGATGCAAACATTTTTCTATCTACTGCTTATTTTGTTCTTAAGTTTTCATTTTATGATCCACTTGTATTGTGTCTTTCTTTTAAACATGCATAACTATGTTGTATAAATTTTAACATCTGTAAAAATAACCTGTGAATAAATTAATTAATGCATTTCATCAAATGTGTGCATTGTTTCTGAAATCAACATAGTAGGATTCATGATTGCAATTTCCGTGCACCTTTGTTTCCATGTAATTTTCACCAGTTCATTCTTCTTGCTCAACCACCATTACCACTAAGACACAAGTTTGTTACTTCTTTATCTCAGCATATGATATGAGGCCATACTTCATATAATATGGAATGCAATGTTTTCTGACATGGTGAAAGTGCTAGTAGATATGGGTTTCCCCCCTCATCTTGTGGGGTTGGTGCTCTGGATTGGGGAGATGATACTAATCTTGTGTTGTGTAATTGATCTGTTGCCTTTGCCTTGGGAAACCTTTTGCATTTACTGATTTGAAATAGTTTGTGGTCGCAGCATGGAATATTATTTGCAAAAGACATACTACAAGACAGCTTCTTTGATTTCAAACAGTTGCAAGGCTATTGCTCTTCTTGCTGGGCAAACTACAGAAGTCTCTATGTTGGCTTATGAATATGGCCGCAATCTGGTAGATTTTAGTCCTTGAAGTTCATTCTTCTGTTATTTGTTATAAGTAAATCTGGGTTAAAGCCATGGTTTGCAAAGTTGGCAAAATTTGGTGAAATCTCCTCATGTCATCAGGATGATACAAAGTATTCAAAGTATTTTTTTCTGTCATATCTTTGACACATTGTTTATRTTACCAGTGATATTTTGAATTTCATTATAACTTATACATCTAAGATAAACGTTAAGATATCATTGAAACGTTCCAGTACTTTGTTAAAATCATGTTTAAAAAAAACTTTTCTTGGTAAGGGCAAAAGGGATTCTGTGATTGGATGATTGGGTTACTATTGTGAATATATAATTCACTTTCACATACTATGTCACCATAATTGAAAAAAGAAGAAAAGAAAGATACAGGTTACAGGACTACAAAAGAGGATTCTCAATCTAATCAAAACATGTAGTTGTAAAAGAGATTTAATAGGTATGTTTAGATTAAAATGGTTTTCTTGAGTCTTAAGTATGCAAGTATACTTTCAACAGTCCATGAAGTTTGAAATTTCATGTTTGTAGTAATTTTCCCTGATATATTTAGACTTAATAGATATCCCAATTTAATTAGTGAAACATCCACATCTTTGCACTGGTCAAATATCCATCAGTATGGAAATTACAAACCACTGACAGTAATACAATGGATCATACCAAAATTAGTATATGTCAAAAAGAAGGTTTGCCATGTATAATGTGTGATGTTGGATGTAAAATATTAAATGAATAAATGAGATGATACTTATTGCACTTCCATACTTATTCTACAGCAAAGCTGTTATTGGTCTATTATCATAATTGAGATTATAGTGGATGGCAATTTTTTTCTTAACCATTTTAAATGTAATTCCTTTTTCAACCTTTGAAACAACCATCTGGCCCTCCTACATCTAATCTTGCTCTAGACTTGTAAATGTTATATACTGAACAACTGCTACAGTGCTACTCTTCATTTTACCATCTGAAAAGAAATACATAAAAGAAAATCCTTTTTATACCAAGTTTTTTGTTTTGAATTGTTGGAACTTAAAGCTTTGATCAATCCAAGGTGTGGCCAATTATGGTGTTGACTTTTCTCTTCACTCACAAATAGAAACCTCTTTCCTTTTATTCTATTCATTATCATTTTGCCAAATAATTCTGTTTCAGAGAAGTGGTTTAGCCTCATTTCATCCACATGCATTTTCTTCTTTTGTTCGTAATTTTATAACTTTGTTGTTTATTTTATTTTCATATTTTTGACTGACTATATTGGTTACTTTTTTTCCAGGGACTGGCATTTCAGCTAATTGATGATGTCCTTGACTTCACAGGCACATCAGCTTCCCTTGGAAAGGGTTCCTTATCTGACATCCGCCATGTAATTTGTCCTTTCCCTGTGTTGTAACTCAATTTTCTAGATCCTGAAGTTGGCTGGAGCCTGAGCAAGTAGATAGTTGCTTTTGATAATTAAGGATCCCCAATGGTGGAAACTGGAAAACCCTTTATAAACCAACTGGTGGTAGAAAACCCTTTATAAAGCCAACCTAGTTTTTGAAGTCTCCTGGTGCCTTCTCCAAGTTCTCACAAGTAGTGGAACTGAATTGAGTTTTTAGATTTGTGCTGGAGTTGGGGGGTTAGGTAACTTGGAACTTGCTGAGTTGGAGATAACATATTAAGATATGGAATACTGTTTTATCTTGTTGTTTCTGGATGGGTATATTGCTTTCTTGCTTCTTATTCTCTTCTATTTGAATGGGCATGATATACCAGTGAAAGACAAGTTCTGGTGCAAGTTAGAGATGAGGGAGAAAGGGGAAGAGGGTTTTGTGACATATAGAGTCGTGTAAGCTTCATGTGCATCAGTGCTACTGGGAACATGCTCACACAGGTCATATAAGTTATTTACTTACCTGAGGGTGGGGTTAAGGTTAACATGTTCGCAAAGAACCTTACAGGGATAACATATCAGTGCGCCATATGGCATATATGGTCACTCTACTGCTGAGCAGTAGGCTGAGAAACTAAAGTGTCTATACTCTCCTTGGAATTCTAACCATGCAATTGATTTCATTATTCGGTCTGTTGGTTCAATGTTTGAGAGCATTGTTGGTTAAACTGCTCAATTAGACCAGGAAAAGCATGAACCAGACAGTTTTCTGTTTTGATCTCCAAGACTGGTTTCCAAAATTCAATGTATTGGTTTGTTTATCAGAACCCAAACCATTTCAGTGTAAATGAAAAGGCAATGGACTGGAATATTTAGGTCAATATGTGATCTGAGATTTTTCTCTTTAGTCTACCAAGGTATAGTCTAACTTGACTGGTCCACATTTTCCATTTGGCTGAGCCGATGTGAGGTGGGCTTAATGTAGGGGGAAATCATGATATTCTTGCAATATGCAACATATGAAATTCCTATTGCTCGTTCAAAAATTTTAGATGTGGCAGAAAAGAACAATGCTGTGTTACTTTCAAGGGTTATATTACTCAATCCCACCAAAACTAAAAGTGGATTTCCTCTTGATCTGTGTCACCGTTTTCTTTTTCTTCTGAGCAAGGCATTGTATTGCAAAAAATACATGCATAAGTTTATCCATTCCAGAATATTTCTTTCTGGATTGTTATGTTTTCCTTATTCCTTTCATTCATCCATGGATAGATAAGAAGTGGAGCCCCTCAAGATCCATATTATCACTTCCAGAATATTTCTTTCAGGATGGCCAAATCTTCCTTACTCCTTTCAAGTTTTCTGCTAGACAATGGGCTACACAACTGGGGACAACCCTCCCCCAAAGTCCAAAACCCCCTACCCTGATGAAGGCAGGATTCTTTCCCAGGTCTCCACTATAATCAAGAGGAGACTTAACCAGCAACCCAGTTGGTACCTTCTAGTTCCTAAATGCCACATATAGATAAGGTACTCTATTCCTTCTATGTGCACATTGTTCGCTTGGTTTTTTTCCCTCTTAAATTTGCAAGTTAGCTGACAATTGAACTTAACTGCATTGGATGTTATTTTCCTTTTACAGTTGGTTACTTGGTTCTATAATTGTACGGGGTAAYAGTGGTTGTGGTTGCAATTTTCTGTAAATTGTTATCATGTATATTCAAGAATTACATATGTTATGGATTGTACCAGCTCATTTCTGCAATATTTTTCCTCATTTTGTAGGGGATTGTAACAGCTCCAATATTATTTGCCATTGAAGAGTTCCCTCAATTACGGGAAGTTGTTGATAGGGGTTTTGACAAACCTTCAGATGTTGACCTTGTAAGTTTGAACTTCTGTCTCAGTATATGGAAGAATGGTAAAAAAATTGTTTTTGCATGGAGTGGCATGAAATTGGATTCATCATGGACACTTTGTCTAGCCATTTAGTCAGCATAAGTAATTATTAAGCTAACCTAGCACATTTTGATGTGCTTGCTAACCTGGCATGTATGAATGTATGTACTTCTATAAGTGCTTTTTTGTGTGTCACTTTGTACTTAAATATTTGTATTTACTGCAAAGCACTATTAATATGATACTTTCTTTCTCTTCCAGCAAGGTTATGATGGTATCCACTGGAATTGTATATAAATGGAAATTTAGCCCTGTGAATATTGCAACTGTGTCTATTAGCAAGCTTAAACATGTCTGGGTATATGTGCCAATCTAGAATGAGGCCAATCTTGTTTTCACCAACCACTGCTTGAGGTTGATTTTGAAACTTGCCTGTCAGGTTATGAGGCCAGAAACCATATGCTTGATGCACAATAAATCATTTATGTTTGAACATAGTGGTTGGCATGTAGCACACTTGGTCATCAAACTGGACTGTTGCATAGGTACTTGGAGTACTACCCTAGAATGTGACTAGTTCTTGACCTAGTCATTTCATTTAATCAAGGACCTTTTTTAGACCATTGAGTGTTAGTTTATATCCAGATGTTGCATGAAGGCCATGGGTAGAGGTGGCCAGAAATTACTTGAGGGCTTACAGTTAAGGGTTATGCCCTTGATCAAGTGGATTGGCAGATCAGAATTCACGGTTCCCCCTTGTTGGGATATGGCTTTGTTTAGTGAGTTGAATCATCTGACAAATATGTATATGCTAAATTTAGATTGCTTAGGTGCTGTGAACATTGATCCAAGGGTAATGAAATCTTGATTTTGGTTCATATGAAAATGCATGGATTGGGCTGGAGTTGTTTATTTCATTTTTAGGCATGAACTTTTTTGGTTTGTCCTCGACCCTTATTTCATTAGTTGCTAGATTTTGTAGACTGATGTGCACACAAAAATCCCAGGCTCTTGACTACCTTGGCAGGAGCCGAGGAATACAAAGGGCGAGAGAACTAGCAGCTAAGCATGCCAACCTTGCTGCAGCAGCAGTTGATTCTTTTCCTGACAGTGATGATGAAGATGTTCTAAGATCCAGACGGGCACTTGTAGACCTCACTCACAGAGTCATCACAAGAACAAAGTGAAAATGACGTTCTCAAGTGAAGACCGTATAAAAAGTTTAGGCAATTTTTTTCTATCAATGTCATCGTAAAAGCCAGCCCTCCAATTTGTCTCCAATATTCTTTTCTCTTTTAAGTTATCCCCCCCNTTTTTTTTTCCTCATCCATTTGTTTTGTTCAATAATTATTCCAGGAACACAATTTCTTACATGTAATGCCAAAATCGCTTCCTGTAAGACAGCTGAAATGCTCTGTTGTCCAATATAAATTGTTAACATATTGTACTTGTCCAAGTAGCATGAGTTAACATCTTAAAAAATGGGAAAAATCGATTAAGACTGGCATTTTTTTTTTGTTATTATTTTGGTAACTATTCATGGTTATTAAAGTTGGGATGGACGTTGGACATAATCCACACAGGGAGTCTCTCTYGAGTCTTGTCTCAACAAATAGCATTCATTAAGCACACTTTTTAGTGAGGATAAAAGCATCATCTACCAACTTCTTGGCATTCATGGGCATAACTTTTTAGTGAGGTAAGTATCATTTGTTGATACGGTTGGAAGAGCTGCCCTGCACACTACTGTCGAGGGTGATCTGCAATTTTAAAAGTAAGCTCTGTTGTACTCTAGTGCCTGTGGGTATTTAATTAAATGGAAATCTTTCTGAAATGATGGTTCAAAACTTTTTATTTTTTTGGCTCTGAGATTACCTATGACAAGGTTCTAAATACCGACATTACCATACATCTGATACGGGGTATATTGTAACGAAGTATCACTTGTCGTGGTTGGAAAAGCCAGCCATCCACACTACTGTTAAAGGTAGTTAAGTTTGCAATTAAATGGGAACTGTACTCTAGTGCCTGGTGGAATGGCCCGGTTTCGGTGTCATTTCGGTGTCATTGCAATATCAGTGACATTTGGTGAATCTCCCTGAAATCTTCTTTGCTAAAGGGCTTTACGACATATTGGAGGAATATTTATTCCCCTTATCTCTGATACATTGTAGATGTATTATTTACAATTTCATTAATATATTATAATTTAAAATTTAAAGTTTTAAAATATCAAGATAACTTTTTGATATTTTGTTACAATCATGAATTTATTTTAAAATCTTTTCCTGAGAGTAGATGGGGACTTTATGATTTACTTACTATTGGTAACTGAATGCCATATATATGGAAAAGATAGCTTAAAAGACTAGGGGAGGCAACCAGATGGTCCAGGTGGTCTCTTAATCTTATCTTTTTATTTGGTAAAATAATCTTATCTTATTTAATATACACAATTGTTTGCTAATTTTTCTTAAGCCTTAAATGTGCAAATATGTTGATGGGCATAATTTTAGTCCATTAAATTATAGAAAACCAATTTGGGTGCAAATGTTTAGTCCATTAGATTAGGGAACTAATTTAGGCACAATTTATTTTAGGAGCCATGGACCCTGGTCTTTTACGAGTCATCTCTGCAGTCTGGTGACAGTGTGAAACCTTTGTCCGTTGTCTTGTCGTTTGTGGCTGGGATTTTCAGATTGTAGATGGGGTGTCTACGGAGAATTAAAATGAACTATGCGTTGAAGTTCTTTTAGACTTTAAGGTACATCTGAAATAGAAGATATTTTTATAATCGAGAAGGCTTGCACTGTGAAGGTAGAGGATAAAGCTTGTGTAGCAAAAATAAAACACACACAAACCACTCAAGAGGATACAGAAATTTAAACTGGGGCCTAATCCACGAGGCGTAATCCCCAATTCTGTCATGAGAGGAGATTACCATGGCTTCATTCTTTTAAAAGGGAATAAGTACAAGAGAGGTAAGAAACCTCATGACCATATTTACACAGTACATTAATTATTCAACTTTCAAGAATAACAAGGTTGACCCACAAGATGGGTGTGAATATTGACAATTAAGTCAGCTGTTCAACACTACCTCTCGAGTTGGGGTGGAGATATCTATGGAATCCAACTTGGATAAAATTTGTCAGAAATGTCCATTATCAGCAGCTTTAGTGAAGATATCTGCAAATTGCTTTCCACTTTTGATGTGAGGAGTCTCAATGATTTTGGTTTGAATTTTTTCTCAAATGAAATGGAAGTCAACTTCAATGTGTTTAAATTTTTCATGGAATACTGGATTAGAGTCTATGTGTATGACCGCTTGATTATCACAAAACACCTTCATAAGCTTCTTGATGCAATCCCTAAATCATTAACAAGAGATGCAATCATATTAATTCACTAGCCGTTGAATCCATGTCTCTATATTCAGCTTCAGCACTTACGAGATACGTCATTTTGTGTATTTTACTTTTCCATGTGACAAGATTTCCCCCAACAAGTGTGCTATCCTGTAGTGGACTTCCTTTTCACTTGATAACCTACCCAATCCACACCTGAGTATCATTCTATTTCTATATGTCCATTCTTTATCATCCAAATTCCTATTCCTGGTGATTCTTTGATATATCATAAAATTTGGTTTACAGCTTCCATGTGTTACTATTACTAACAAAGCTGTCAGTGTAGGCGATGTCTGGTCTTGTAATGGTTAGACAGATCAATCATCCCACAAGTCTTGGGAATCTCCCCTTGTCATTTAAAGGTTTATCATTGAAGTTGAATGTTCCCTTATAATCTATAGGAGTTCCTACCGACTTTGCTCCTAATTTTCTTGTTTCTTTTAGCAAATCAAGGGCATATTTTCTTTGGAAAAGAAGCAAGACTTTACTTGAGTAAGCCACTTCAATGCCTAAAAAATGCTTTAATTTTCACAAGTCTTTGATATCAAACATTTCCTTAAGATGTTCCTTAAGTTCAAAGATACCATGAATATCGCTGATTGTAATAACTATGTTATCAATATAGATTAGAACAAAAGTAGACTTTGACCCACTCCCTTTAATGAACATAGATGAATCAGCCATACTTCTTGTAAAACCAAAAGTCATAAGTGTTGAGCTAAGTTTGGCATACCAAGCTTGAGGAGATTGTTTGATACCATATATTGATTTCTTAAATTTAAATACCAAGCCATTATAAAACTCTTGTGGGTGTCCAATAAGGAGACCCATGTAGGTTTCTTCTTCGAGGGAACCTTTTAAGAACACGTTTTCACAGAGGCCAACATTAGAGGTGTAAATCATGTCATGCCAAGCTAGCATAACACAACTTTGTGGGCCACCCAAGCTTTGGCGGGCCATGCTTGCCTCCTTTGGGATACTTCAGAGGTTAGGCCCAACATGGTCCTTCACATGAGTCCACAGGGCCTGGGCCTTGTCATGTCATGCCATGGGCCTAGGCTAGGAGGGCTATGGGCTAGGTCGTGGGCTTGGGCCGAGTTGAGCTAGGTTTTTTTTTTTCTTTTGACATTTCTATTTTTTTATTTTTTGTTGAGTGATACAAACTTTGGAAAAAATAAAAATTTAACAAAAAAATACTTGGCAAAATACAAAATAGACAATAAATTGAAAAGAATTTAGAAAGTTTATTTCATTTGAATTTGAACAATACAATGGAAAAAATATAATAATAATATAATAAAACTGAAAATAAAAATTACAGTGGTATTGAAAAAATAACAAATGATTTAAATAAAAATGAAAAACAAAATTTACAATAATTTTAAAAATTCTATACAATTATTGAGTATACAAAAAAATATTGGATTCATCATTTTTCTTCAAGTTCCACCTCCATCTCCTTGACACTAATCATCATTTTCTTCTAGTGAAACATTAGGTGAAGTTTCATGCCCTCTTTTATCTTGTTGTCTATCCTCATCATCCCGCCAATCCTTCAACATATGCACATCTCTAGCCTGTCATCATTCATGCAACTTCTCTTGTCGTCCAACACCATAGTACCTACACTAAAATAAGAATTCTATGGAATTGTAAACATCAGAGGGGTTAGTAGATTACCTACCATGGTGGCAAGAACTAGACAATTTTTCCATATTCACTCTACCAGGCTAAAATATCAAAATTCTTTAATCCCTTTGAGTTGAATGAATCATTTAAATTTGAAAAATTAGCTTGCAAATAAAAATTAGGTTCAATAAATGAACTTGATGATGAAGTGGTAGCAGATTTTTGCCTTTTATATATTAGAGGCCAAAATTTTTCTCTTCCACTACTAGAAGTAGATGTTTCAGAAGTAGAAGTTCTAGTTGTTGTACCTGTATAAGTTTTCCTATGCCCTAATAATTGATATTTATATAAATTGTAAATTTTAAATAATAAATTATTAATTTATTCTTTTTTTATTTCCAATTCTAGTATTCATATTTTTAGAATAAGATTTAAGTAAAACATCTAAACCATCTTTCCTAATCCTAGGATCTAATGTTGTAGATAAGCAATATAGAGGAGAAATATTTTCCCAATATATAATTCCATTATTTCAATAATACTTTTAAAATTTGAATTATTTCTATATTTTGCAAAATATTCACTAATCATAAATAAATGATTAACTAAAATACAACTAGTTGGGTAATAAACACCTAAAAATTCATTAGTTGTATCATAAAAAAATTGTAAAAAATCTTTTATACAAACTGCCATTTCCTAGTCATCTTTAATTGTAAAATCATGTAGCATTTTTTCATTATAAAAATTAGTAAGGATGTCTTTGTATTAAATACAACTTTCTAACATAGAACATGTGGAATTCCACTTATGTTTAACATCTAAAACAGAATATTTATATTTTAAACCATAATTTTGACATAAATATTTAAATTCTTATTTTCTTGTTCCAAAACTTCTAATATATAATACAATTTATAATTTTATAAATATGATGAGAAATAATATTTATAGAATCTTGAACACATCTAATATGAAATAATTTATCATTTAAACATGGCTTTAATTGAGATTTTAAAATACTTATTGTTGAATCATTATTACTAGCATTATCAAAGTTAATAGAAAAAAAATTATTTTCAATTCCATAAGTATGTAAAGTATCTAAAATACTTGCATCAATTGTTGGACCAGTATGTGCTCATTCAAGCCTAGTAAAACTTAATTTTTTTAAAAGCCAATTTTCATCAATAAAATGTCCAATAACACAAATATAACTTATATTTAGAAGTTCAATTATCAAAAGTAATTGCAACTTTAGAATTA